AAATATTCGTAAATAATGAGCGTTTTTAATAGTTATGTACAAACTTACAGTTAAACAAGCAATGGTTATCAACTACTACATTTTCCAATTTAAACTCATCATTTTCTTTCATTTCATCTGGAGTCGTTACTATTGTAGATAAATCATCAGGTAAAAAGTATTGCGTTACATTAAATTGAGAAGCGCTTTTGCTTGATTAATTAATGTCAGTTAATGATGTACGTCAAATATTGAAAGGGGAGCGTCTGATTATTCTAGAATAAAAGAGACAGTATTTGACATAGAGAAAGTACCAAATCTAGATCGGACGTTATTAAACTATGGTCCTATGAGCTTTGTGTCATTTATGAAGATAGCAAAGAATGAAACCAATACAGAAGCAATATTGTACATGTGTTGATTAATAGAGCACCGATAAAATTTTAATCCAAAAATTTAAGGTTTCATTTTGTACGAGCTGGTTTATATATAACGTCACTCAGGTGAAACAGCGAAAAAAGCAGGAACGAGAAAACAGGTTTTTGTTCGTCTCTTTTCGTCAAAAAAGTGCAGCTCAGAAGAAAAAGAATATCAGTAATAAGGCAAATTATATCTGTTATTTTTATTCCTAATATGATAACAAATATGATGGCAAAAAAAGATTCGAGAGAAAAAAGAGTCATACAAAGAACATGTCTTTTGTGTCAGCAAAACAAAAACATAACATGCGCACATGCTATTGTCGAAAAAATAATCTTTAGCTGTCTTTTGAATGAGTCGAAAAGAAAGATTTTATCATTCGAATGAGAAGGCCTGACTGTATCTTTCTTACTAAAAAAAGTTTTAAAAATCTATTCTCTAAGTACCCATTTTTAGTGATGTTTACAAAACTAAATCATAGTTTAGAAACTTCAAGAGATAATATTGTGATTTTTTATATGAGTAGATAGCTCAGAGTGTTCAAATCAAACTGAGAATCAAGCGAGGCCTTGATTTTCAAACTTGTCGTAAACTTTCATAGTCAGTTTCTCATATCTCAGAACAGGCCAGCTTGTAACCCATACAGAAGCGCAGCACAGAATACATGAACGCCTTGTCATGGGCTCAGTGACAGTCAGACAATGACCGAATTGGAGACAATCGATATGTGAAACAGGAAATGTGTCCGCGGTAGTATAGTGGTTAGTATCCCCGCCTGTCACGCGGGAAACCGGGGTTCGATTCCCCGCCGCGGAGTGATTTTTTTGTTTTGTCTGCCTTGCTATAACATGAACTACACCAGTCAGAGGCAGATCTAGATACTGTTTCAAGCTGTTTTAAGCTGAAAATAATAAATAAATAATGTTTTAATAATGTTTTTCAAAAAATAATTTCTAACTTATCTGTTATAAGATGACATTTTCAAGTGTGTTCTTCTCAATAGTGACAATCCGAACTTTTCAGCGCCTTTTCTTCTCGAGTTATTCAAATAATAATCATATCTTACATCATTTTGAAATGGATATTATTATCTGGCTCAAAATTCAGTGGACTCGGATGTTTTTTGAATAACTGTTGACAGACAAAGGATAATAACCTACGGTTTTCAGCATTTTGTAGCCAAGAACTTACTCCGACTATCTATTCGTTAGACAACTGAAAACCTGGTTTTTCAGGTAGTGTACCTCATATGTCTTTGAAAGAGAAGACGGCCACTCCGATGACTGCAGCAGAACTCTGTAGTTCTAAAATATACTACATATACCGGCATCCAGCCTGCATATTCACGTAGGTTCTAGACCGTCAACTCGTATCGTTCAGACAGCAGAAATAGTTTCCTGAGGCAGCTTCTGTCTAGTAATCATGGAGTCTGCGAAAGCTAAAAATAATTGGAAGCATAGGTTATCTGCTACGTTCAATCTTGTGATAATGTCAGTTTTCAGACCCAAATGAAAAAATGTATTGAAAATCTATACTAGAACAAACCATTTTTGGCTGTTTTCGTAAAAAATTAAGAAATTGATACCTCAGTCAAAATCCATCAAAACTACTTCAGAATATCAAGATATACTCTGTTTAAACTGCTCAATCTGCTCTGTACTTCAGAGCTATAAAATATATTCTCTTAGTTCCGAAGATTTAGAGTATTTTCTGTCCGTTTTCAAAATATTTATTGAGTTTACAGTACACTGCAGATAAAACAGTGTATATTTCAGCATTCAGAAGCCTTTGGATGGATTTTGACACAGTTATGCTTTTTCTTGGTTACGGAAATAGTGAAAAATCAACAGTTAAAAGAAATGGGTGAACTGAATGGATATGGCAACAGATGACTGTTCTGTGACATTATGTGCAATCGACCTCATTACGGCCATAACAAGTTACAACATCTAATAGAGGCTTGAAAACTTATTATGTAGTGTTCATCAATAGCCTACTGAAAAACTAATAATAATACTAAACTTTTCGCGTTCCGAAAGAACCAGTTGTATGACCGAGGGAAGCCGTCAAAACTATGAACGAATCAATCGGATCAAACGATTCATTCGGATCATTCGTAGAATAATGTAAAGCGCTCCTCTGTGATGTTTATATAAGAGAGAAAGTATATAAAATCTATCTTTTCTTCTCCATTTTATTTATTTTTTCCAAAAGATTACTTTTTATTAACTCTTATATATAACACATCAAAAAACACACTAACTGTGCTATTTAATTATAGATAGTATATAAATATATATATTCACTTTGGCCTTATCGCTTGCTAATATGGTCTTAAACAAATAGTAAGAATGATTTTTCATCATCGCTGTCATAGCTATGACAGCGATGATGAAAAATCATTCTTACTATTTGTTTAAGACCATATTAGTAAGTGATAAAGCCAATATAACGGATGACCCAGATAAAACTGGCTACTTTTGTTCTTTGTTTTTGAGGCACTTTCCAGTGGTCCAAAGAGTTGGTTCTAGGCTCATTCGATAGAGAATGGAATTCTCTACAAACCTGCTATTTAAATCTCTGATAGCATTTTTCTCGTTTGAGCCCCATTCAAAATATTGGTGAGTTTGCTGAGTTGTCGAACTGCAACAGACTGAAAATAGAAAAATATTTGACTTGATCCAAAAATAAATTTCATAAGAATTTTGAAAATATCAGAAGACTCACCGGAAAATTTTGCATCTTCTCACATGTTTTTCGAAATTTTGCAGTTAAATCTTCTAGGAAGATTCCTCTACGCAGAAAACTGATAAACCGTATTTTCACAGTATACGACCCCGTATTACTGTGCCCAGAAACGGTACCGTTTACGGGGTCGTATACTGTGGAAATACGGCCGTATACGGTCCTATTTTAATGATGTTACGGTCCGTATTCCTGCGTCCAGTAGACGGTCCGTATATGGACCGTATCGTTCGACCTGGGTAGTTTTCTATGAAAAAAACTGATAGATTGCTATCTAAGTATTCGGAGATCCGAACTAGTTTACCCATCTTTCGAATATTTTTCGAAAAGGATTTTGCTTATGAAAACATTGGTAAAACTGTCTTCTTTCGATTGCTGGAAATCCCAAATCTCTATCTTTTCCCGTCTTTGAGTTATTCGAAAAACAACTACCGGCCTTATATTTTGCCGCCGATAATACCTAATGGCTTTTTTGTAACACAAACAAGCACTTTTCCGCAACATATGCTTGCGCATGTGCCAGATGACATTGATACATGTATATATGAACTTTCTGAGTTTTGCCGTTTCATTTGAGATACTACAAGATTATATTTTGCGATGTTCCTTTTTCGTCGTTTTTGGGATCCTTTCAGCCTCTCCCGGTAACCCATCTATGAACATGCTCCAAAACGGAAGTTAGCGCCAGATAGTCCAAGTGGCGTAGTATACGGCTGACTATGTCGATTTATATAACAAGTGCCTTCGGACATAAAAATTAAATTTTTAAAATGCTGCATTTTCACTTTCTCTGAACTTTGTGATGGCCTACACCCCTAGTGAACTACGTTTCTCAGACCAAAGCTATAAATTTGAGTAGACCAACACGTGTTCTGTGCAGTGAAACTCGTGTTTAGTCAAATACTTTTGCTTTTCATAGAAGAATTTAGCCAGAAAGTACGACCATTATTAATATTTTCCAATTTTGCAGGTATGATTCCGCACATGTGCGAAGGTCGAACCCACATATGTTTTTGGGTACACGTAGTACTCAACCTATACTACTTATGCTGCAAGTACGAGTTCTAGCACTGCTGCGTAGACTGAAATATGACGACTGTAAAATTCAGTTTTCTATAGCATGCCCAAACCCTTCCACCTTCTGGAAGACAGTGAAAACAATTAATAAAAAGAAATTAGTCCAATTTTCCGCAATCACTGAGAACAATGTGATACACAAATCATCAAAAGAGATCATCTCATGCCTTCAGGACCACTTCACAAACAGATATGCGAGGCCAATATTAGACCCAAAAAATGAACTTGACAACGAAGCGACAAAACTCTGGGAGAAATTATCTAACGCTGACAAAGACGACATCGAACTCGTGTGTTCTAACTCTGATTTGAGATATACTAGTCATGAAATAAGAAAAGTAATCAAGAAATCAAATAGTAAAAACTCATGTGGTTTTGATGGTGTTTCAAATAAAATGATTAAATGACTACCAGACGAATATCATAACACACTAGCCAATTCATTTAATAAATTATTCACTAAAGTACATTGGGGTGATAGTTGGAAAAAGTCAAGAACATTATGTTTTAACAAAATTAATCACCCGTCTCCCACAACCAACCAGCTTCGGCCCATATCACTGTTACCAGTCTTCAGTAAAATTTATGAGCGTCTATTTTTATTACGCTTTAACTCATGGCTGGAAAAAATGAGCATACTATCCGATGAACAATCAGGGTGTAGAAGGCATCTGTCAACAACATCGCGAGTTAATTTTTTGTTGGAACAAGTGACACAATCGCAAAGATATAATACCTTCACTCCTGTTGTTTTTGTAGATTTTAAGCAAGCTTTTGATATGCTATGGCATCAAGGGCTGCTATTAAAACTGCATCGATTGAACTGTCCTTATGCATATCTTTTCTGAATTGTAAACTACTTCACAAACCGGAAAGTCGTGATTGATTACGACTCCGTGTTATCTGAAGAAATCAACATTCAAAGAGGAGCTCCACAGGGTGGCTGCTTTGGTCCACCAACGTACATAGTTGCACATTATCATTCGCCACAGATTTATCGTAGTCCTGATGCTTCACACCTATATGTTGATGATTTATCCAACATCTACCCCCCTAATATATTTCTTAAATTTCGCGATCAGGTGAAAGAAATAGAAAAGCTCATAAATGAAGACATGACGCGTCTAAAGAAGTATACAGACGATTGGCATCAACCAGCGAACGTAGAAAAAACGGAAATAGTTGTCTACCACAGAACGGTTCAATGTCCTCAATTACAAATAACTTTTGATGGAAAATTATTGAAACAATCAAAAATTTATAAATATTTGGGTTTCTTTTTAAGCGGAAAATTAAGGTTTCGCTACATGCTCGACTCCCAGTTCATTAAATAAAGGAGCTCTTATGGCATCCTAAAATATGTTCATAGGCAATTTCCTTCCTTCTTTTCTCTTAAACTGAAGTTTTTTAATGCATATATATGGCCTCATCTGTATTTATTAGCAACGTTATATTGTTTATTTTGCGTCTCAACAAAAAATCGTGTCAATGCATTCTATAGGCGATGCTTACGAATGATTTTTTGTTTATTTCACTGTTCAACAATAGATCTCCATGAAGTCTTTTGTTCACCTACTTTAGAATCAAAATATCGTAAGTGTCTGATGAAAAGACTAGATAGAATACAGCAGTACGAGTCATCCTTTTTAGGAAATGTTCTTCAAAATAAGCACGTGATCAATGAGGTGTATACCCACTATCGCGAAAATTCTCACATTCAAGGTTTGCCAGTGAGGAGACCTAATAAACGTTTAGTAAAGTTTTTCTCAGCTGATCCAAATACTTACTTTGATAAGTTGTATAGTTTTGCAATGTGTAGTAATTAAAGAAATAACAGAGATGTCAGCATCTTTCTAGGGTGTTTTTTTTGTTGCGAAGCTTTAATAGTATGTTATATGATATATATTATATGTTATTATATACTGTTTTTCTTTTTATCTTTTAAATGTGTCTAATATGTTTAATCAAACTAGTTTTCTGTATAATTTTGTCGTGTGAGTCGGACAGGACCTAAGCGGTCAAACCGACATCCTCCCCTTGCGAATAAAAGCTCTTTACAAACAAACAAACCGCATCTGTGTAGAATTCTTATTTCTCTTTCTTAAATGAATACAGTTTGAACTAAACTAAACGAAAAATATAGAATAAAGAAAAACAATGAATTTCGTTCTTATTGTATGTAATGTTTCTTTTACTATGCGCACTACGTATAGTATATAGAAGATGACAAAAGACTTTAACGACAACAGCAAGAGAAAAATATAGAACAAGGATGGTGAATCATAACGGGTGATACAGTCTATAATTATCAGTGTGTAATACAGAATGATAGTGGTCACTAGGAAAGAAAATTGTTATACCTCGCCTTAGGGTCCACCTGCAGTGAACTTGCAGGGCAGGGCAGTGCAGAAGTTTTCACCCTCAACCTCTGCCTGTGCAGAACAAAAGATTTTTTTGGTAACCTGCAAACTGCAACGCGGATAAATTTTATTTTGCCCTTGCGCGATATCGCGCAGGGGTGAAAAATTATGCAGGTGATCAGCTCTGGTTTCAACACATAACGGTAATATTTTGTACTTCCAAAACTTTTCAGAAAACTGAAACAGAAAACCAAAATTTTGTTCACAAATTATAGATCTTAAAGGTTAATCGATGCTTGAAACAACTCAGTTGAAACAACTTGTTCATTGGAATAAAGAAAACAGATAAACAAGAAAATACAATCGGAAATCAATGAATGAAGAAGGTAGACAGAGTATTGTAAAATCAGGATTGTAATGGTACATTATATTATTCTGTATGATGGACAGTTAATGAAGAATATACAGCTAAAATATGTCGTATTACATATGCATAAACAAACCATCCATATCAAGAATGTAAAAAAATTATGAATTATATATGATATAAATTCACCATTAGCTAGCTATTAATGAAAAATTTAATTTACTTATAACAGCTGTTGTTGATGATACATTTGAATCTGTTCCAGCTGCTATAGATAAAACACAACGTTTGAAATTTTATGGATAAATCGGAGTTATTTTGGTGCTGATATGAATGCTTATTATAAAATTGATTCTAAAACTGGTCATATGTACAATTTGTACTTGATAATGATCAACAAACAATTGTACGTTCATGGTAACATATGTCTGATATACATTGGCCAATTGCTGTTTCATCCTGGAATGTTTCTAAACCATTTCAATTACTTTGGAAGTGGTATGCACCAAAATCAATATCGGGAATATATTCATAACTAAATTTCAAACTGTCAATTGTTTTGATACATAACTGAAGTTTGCATATAAGTATTGCAAATAAATAAAAATTTATCGTGGATTTCGTTCAAAATGAATAAAAAACAAGTAGTGGCACTAAAATTAAAATAAAATTACCAAAATTCAAAAATAAAAATTGTTTAATATCGTATTCTCCAAACTCATTAAATGACTTTTATTTAAATTTCATATAAATTCTTTAATTTCGAGTTTACGTTGGTTTTGTTAGATAGAAAAACCTCTTCACACTTATCACAATAGTTATCTTCCTATCTTTCCCCTTGTCATACATTCTTTCTTCATTAGTAAAATGTCGTAGTCGATTGCAAATTCGCCTGAGAAATCATTTTTACTTTCCTTTTTCTTGGATTTTAACTTAATTGTTAGCACCATGTTGCTACAGATTCAGCTCGGAAATGACGATGATTAGACAAAATGAAATGGTGGCCATTTATAGAACTATAGGTGAATTATTTAACTCGTACATTTAATAATCATATCAGATTTGATTGCAGAAATAAAAGTCGGTCGAATAGGAAAAGTTCAGAAAATGACTGTCAAGTAGTGTCACAATGAGTTTGAGATTTCCAGTAATCTGCTGAGACCACCACGCAAACCTTGGGTATGTTGTAGGGGACCATGACTACTATATGTGTAGCAAGTTTGAGCTCCATGCAGGGTTGCCATATTAATAAATGTTGGTCACAAGTTTCATATAAAATGTCAAAAACTACTCTAAGACTGTCTCATAAATAGCGAAATTCAAATCTATAAAAAGATCACTATGGTGGGATTTTATCCGTAAAACCAAAGAAAGTTAAGAAAGAAAGATAAGTAGGAGAAAAGCAATAGAGTAGGACAAAGTAGGACGGTTTTAGTGAAAAGTAGGAAAGGTAGGATGTTTACGAAGCCTGCGATAGACAATATACTTCTCTAGCGTTTTCAAACATTAAACCCTCTGGAAAAAAAGCATCAAATTTTGATATGGCATCAACTATCCGACAAAAGGCTTATCGTAATTAGAGCCTTTCATTCTCTGTCGAACTTGATAGAGAGTCAATAAGTTAAATTCTCTAAATAAAAATCGATTGAGTTTGTGTCATATTCTTTGCACATTCACGTTATAGTTTGCACATGTTTTCTGTGTGATCAGAGAACGTTGGCATTTTCTTATATACAAAGAGAAGATTTTTCCTCTAACATCCCTGGCTTACGGACGAGAGAAAAATCTTTTCTCTCATTTTTTATTTATATCATTCATTCAAGGCCTTATGTACAATAGATTCCGACGAACATAAATGCGTATGGCTATTGTTTTGGCTTATTTTTCCTTTATTATAATTTATACACGCTTTGTTATTGACCTCGAATGAGAGAAGACAAGAGAAAAGCTTCTTCTTATATAAGGAAGGACTGGTCACACACGATCATTTGAACATTTAGTGATATGTTGCTAGTTTTTGTCTCTTTTAGTTAATCTTTTGGAGAAATTCTGAGATAGAAAAAGAATAGAGTAAAACGGGGCAATCAGAAACGATTTTTTGCTCTTCGAGCTTCTAATTTAGTACAGATCTGTTAATTTCAATTATCTTTTTGCAATTTCTTTTTAGATGGCATCACCACTACCTCCATCGAATGGCTACCCGTCGGTAGATGAACAGCTAAAGATGAAAAGAAAGGTAGGAGTTCCTTTGAGGATCTATTTTAGCTAAAAGTGATATTTCTACTTCCAGATGAGAGAAGAGGGTCAACCAAACCCACGTCAAGTAGGTGGAGTTCCACATCATGGTAAGTCAATTTCTAAATCTCTCATCCAAATTATAATGTTTAATGCAAATTTTAGGAAATATTTTGATGGGGCAGCTCACCGGTGGGGCAGCGACACAGGTACAAGTAACTAAATTTGCTTCACATATGAACCGAAGACATGTATTTTTGTTTGTCGTTTAGCAGCCCGTGGTCCGTCAACACAGGAGCCGGTGGTTCCGTCAACACAGGAGCCGGTGGTCCCGTCAACACAGGAGTTGGCAGTCCCGTCAACACAGGAGCCGGTGGTCTCGTCAACACAGTCCCATCAATAATTGATTAGCTGAACTAAACAAAATTACTGTCGCCAATAAAGGTTCAATCGTAGGTAAACGTTTCTTTCTTTTTCTTTTATAATACTATTAAGATATCTTTTTGTTTTTCAGATGATTTAGTACGAATGATTATAGATTTTTATCGTCATGAAGAAATCAAAAAATTAGCTGCTGACAATGGATTGGATAGTAATTTACGATATAGCGTTTCATTGCACAAATTAGTGATCTAAGAGATCCCGCTAATTGGTAAGAAACGTAATAAACTATTTGGTTTATTACTGAAGCAACCTGTGGGCTGAAAGAAAAACTTATTTGTACTGTCGTTGTTATTAGTGGAGATTAGACAATATCAACGTTTAACAAAATTAACTTGTTTAGACAAAGCAATCGGTACAAAATTAATGTGACCGAGAACATAGTGAATTATTTACTATCGAGACGAGGAATTAACTAGCTCTTAATTTTTGTTTTACTATTACAACGCAAAAAAGAAGTAGCTAATTCTGGTCCTTAATCTTTTGTTAAAGTCAGAATATTTCATAGAATATTTTTAGTTCGTTAAGTAGCTGAATGAGATTTCGAGAGGTTTGAGTAAGAATCATGTTTCATTGAAAAACGTTATCATCGAACTGCTCTTGATGTATACTTTCTCAGATAATAATTTTGTAGCTGAAAACATTGTTATTATAAGACTGTTTTGAGTTTAGTATTAATTCACTATCGTATTTTAGTTATTTAGAACCATTTGATAATGTCAGACGAAGCGATTGTTTTGTATCCTTCAGTAAAAATATATTTCATATCACCAGAGAATTAGAACGACGTGGACATGAAGTAGCGGTTATTTATGGATCTTTACCACCAGGTAATAAATTTTAACAAAAAAAAGATGATTTTTTGTTACTTTTTATCATTTATTGTCAGGAACAAAACTATTACAAGCACAACGTTTTAATGATCCAGATGATGCATGTAAAATAATGGTATCAACCGATGCGATTGAACTTGTAAGACACACAACCATTTTATAAAAATTAAATGATCAACAGTTTATTTCTTTTTTGTGTTCTAAAAGTATTAGGCGTAGCATATTTTTCAGTATTGTCAAACCACAAATGAATGAAAAGGGAGAGAAAGAAAAAGATTCTATAACAACGTCATAAGCATTACAAATTAGTGGAAGAGCTGGACGGTATGTGAATAAAATCATTTAATGAATACAAGGTTTGAAACATGGATGTGTTTTTTCTAAACGATCTATTTGTGCTTTTTTGATTTAAGTTATCTGTTGTTTTTTCCTTCCTATCGATCCATGAGCTCTTTTTTTCCGAGTTTTAATCTTTTGTTAAAGTCAGAATATTTCATTTATTCTGGACCACCCGTTAGTCTTTGTTATTAAACGAAGCGTGATAACTGAATATGTTCGTCAAGTATCATTTCATTATCATGTCAAAAACGATCTCAGTGTAGTAGAAATAGATAAAAGGATATCTTATTTTTATTAGCGCGCTGGACTGCATCCAACAGCTGAACAAATCGAACTGTTTGCCTATCATTTACCTAAACATACATTATCAAGTTTAATAGTACGTTATTTCTTGGTATTTTGCAAATTAGCTTAGCTTGCTTCTTTCTAGGATATTTTCATAACATTATCTCAATTAGACGATGGTCTGTATTTTATGTGCAAGTTGAACATGTCAAGTTTTTATCTGATATTATTGAACATGTACCGTTACCTCTGAGACCACGTTACGTGTTTTCGTGTGCACCAATTAATAGGAAAATGCCATTTGTTTGTACAATGTTTTTGAAGGTTAGTTCTTCTGTTGATTGTCCACTTATACTATTCATCATAAGATTATCAATTCATCTTACCGTCAACTTTGAGAATTGAGGTTATTGGTTGATGTACAAGAGAAGATTGTACGATTTGTTCATGAAGCCTAGAAGCAAAATTTGACTCATACTCATCTTTTGTACTTTAGTATGCTCGTCACTATAGTCGCGGTAAACCAGCTACATTCGATTGGTTAGCTAAATAATTGCTTTATCCATTTCAAACTCCGAATACAATTATGGATTTAGTACATTTAGAAGATTCGATTGTCTAGATCTTTATCTATGGTTAAGGTAAGGAAAACGACGAAAATTTTTTCATTTTATTAAACATTGTTTACATTTCTTGTTTAGTTATCGTTTTACGGATGTATTTCCAGAAAAAGAGATTGTGCGTGATGTTCAAGCTGAATTAGATCAAATTATACATTTGGGTGTTCAAAACATTTTTAAATTAATTCATCGAATACTAAAAGAAAAATGTTATCTAATTATGTTGAAATCTGACGAAAATATAACACAGAAAAGTTTACCTACGATTGGAACTTTATTGTCGACAGCAATTTTGTTTAGTTCAGCTATAGGAGCACGATATAATATATCAGTGATTATGTTCTACAGTAATATAAAACGAAACTTTCTTTTTTTGTATTTGATATAATATGTTGCTGTTTACGTTATTATTCAGTTTGTATGTTCCATGTTTTGATGCGTAATCAACATTTTCCATTGTGGCAAATGCATGAATCGTGAGAAATTTTTTGATCTGTATAAAGATTAATAATGTTAATAATAATAAAAACAAAACAAGTAAAAGTCATCCACC